GAGGGAGCTGGCACTGTCGGAGCGTCAATGCTGAGGGAGGGGGCACTGTCGGAGGGTCAGTGCTGAGGGAGCGCCGCACTGTCGGAGGGTCAGTGCTGAGACAGAGCGTTGCACTGTCAGAGGGTCAGTGCTCAGGTAGCGCCGCACTGTCGGAGGGTCGTTGCTGAGGGAGCGCCGCACTGTCGGAGGGTCAGTGCTGAGGGAGCGCCGCACTGTTGGAGGGTCAGTGCTGAGTAAGCGCCGCACTGTCGGAGGGTCATTGCTGAGGCAGCACCGCACTGTCGGAGGGTCATTGCTGAGGCAGCACCGCACTGTCGGAGGGTCAGTGCTGAGGGAGCGCCGCACTGTCGGAGGGTCAGTGCTGAGGGAGCGCCGCACTGTCGGAGGGTCAGCGCTGAGGGAGTGTTGCACTGTTAGAGGTGATGCCGTTTGAATGAGGAGTGAATGCACTTGGTCAATTGTGAATGCTCCTGAGAACTGATGAAAAAAGAGAAGAGCTGTTCTCGTCAGGGTCCTGTGCCCACTTTGATCCCTCAACCAGCTTTAGGAGTTTGCTGTGTATAGATCTGGTTGCTATGTTTCCCACTCTATGACAGAGATCAGACTTCAGACGTTGTGGTGGACCCTGTGTGAATGAATGTGTTGTTTTCTATTCCTACCTTTGTTATAGAGTCTCGGAGACACTGTGCTCCCTCGTGCTGATGTGGTAGTTTACACACGGACTGCTGAGCTCTCTTTGCAACCCTGTCTTACAGATCACCTTCATATAAGGCCTTTGAGAAGTTTCTGGAAACCCTCTGGTATCAGGTTCTGTGAACCAGATGTTCAAACGTCTAATTTCTCAGATACAGCTGGCCTCCAATAGAATCTGGTCCTTAGCTGAAACAATGAGGTTCATTAAAATGTAATGGAGCTCACTGTGTGTCTTAATAGCAGGCAATCCACATGGAACTTAATCCTCAGGTACTGCAACATGAACAGTTCCTCTCCCACGCTATAAAAGTCTCGTTATCTTCCTCTCTTTAACATTGTGTCTCTTCTTCTGTCACTTTTGTTTACCCCTGCCCTCTCTCACTCCTCCTGCCTCACTCTGTCTAATTTCCGCCATCTTTACTATCTGGGCTGGCAGCTCCAGCTTGTGTGAGCAGCCATCCTGGTTTCTCTGGGACCGCCCAGAGATCCAAGCTCCGACAGTTAACGGGAAAATGCTGAGATGTCAGGTATTCACCCCTGCTCAGGCTGCTCCCTCAGCACTGACCCTCCCACAATGCGGCGCTCCCTCAGCACTGACCCTCCGACAGTGCGGCGCTCCCTCAGCACTGACCCTCCGACAGTGCGGCGCTCCCTCAGCACTGACCCTC